CGGCGCCAAGCGTCAGTCAAGCGGCCGAAGCAACGCTAGGTGGAGTGTGGACCACCACACTGCTCACCCGCACGGTCGCCAGTGCGCAGGACGTAAGTGCACGGACCAGTACCCCCACCCCGCTGACGCGCAGAGTACCACTCACGGAGCTGCTGCGGGGAGAGGGTCTCCTGACCACGCTGCTGCTGCTGGCGCTGACCACCACCAGAGCCACTCCTCCTTGGCGCGCCACGACCTCCGCCGCCTCCTCCGCCGCCGCCGCCACCACCTCCACCGCCACCGCCACTCCCACCGTCGCCGCCGCCACCGCCACCTCCGCCTCCACCCCCACTACCACCGCCGCTGGCGCCCCCGCCTCCACTGCCTCCGCCGACACCTCCACTCCCGCCACTACTCCCGCTACCACCCTCACCCCCGCCGCTGCCTCTACCTCCGCCTCCACCGCCCCCGCCGCCTCCACCACCGCCCCTGCCCCACTTGCTCTTGCCAGAGCGACGTCTCCCGCTGGGGGCAGACGCCGCTCCGACCGGCTCAAAACCAACAAGGTCGGCCGTAGCAGCAGAGGCGACAGAGGGCAGGAGGGGGGAGGGGGAACACCCCTCAAAGATGGGGGTGCGCGGGTCACCACGAGAGGCCCCTACAGCGAGAATGCTCTTCTCGGCTGCTAGGAGGGACTTCTCGAGGATCTCGACAGTGAGAGTGGTGGGGTAGACTGCGAGTAGGTCGTCCCTGACTCCGCGAAGGGAGTCAGGGAGGCGGGTGACAATGTAGTAGAGAGTGAAGTACTGGGGGGGGGGGGTTCTTGGCGCAGAACTCAGCAGGAAGTGCAGCGCGGAAGCGAGCGTCACTAGTGCGCAGGTGGGTAATGAGGTCGGCTACTGTGGCAAAAGCAGCAAGGTCGGGAAAGAGGTACAGCTCAGGCGGCTCAGTGCAGCAGTGGTAGGGGTGGAGTAGCGTGCGATAACGGCGTCGTACAAGGTCTTAGCACACTTGTACGACCCAAAGTGCGCACGCTCAGCGGGAGGGAGGTGGCGACGCACAGCAAGACGTGCAGCAGCATCGCGTGTGGCCCACTGTGAGCGAACAGTGGCATCCTCAGTAGTAGCAGGGGCGGGAGAGGCACCAGAAGTGAGATCAAAGAGAGAGAGTCCGTCAGCTCTGTTGCACTGTAGGAAAAGCAGTAGGTCGTCTACCCACACGTCAAAGTAAATGGCTCTGCCCTCAGCGTCAAAGGCGAGGACACTGGGGGTAGCCATGACAGCAGTAGAGAGAGTGCAGTGCGTAGAGTAAGGCTCAGTGCTCACCAGACAGGGCAGTGCAGGGAGGGCTCGGGCGGCTCGGGCGGCTCGGGCGGCTCGACTGCTGGGCGGCTCGGGCGACTCGGCGGCTCAGGCGGCTCGGGCGGCACTGCAGCTGGGGCGGCTCGGCTGCTGGGGCGGCTCGGCTGCTGGGGCGGCTCGGCTGTTGGGGCGGCTCGGCGGCTGGGGGCGGCTCGGCTGCTGGGGCGGCTCTGCTGCTGGGGCGGCTCGGCCGGGAGATGCAGGGGCGGGGCCGTCAGGTGCAGCGGCGGGCCGGCAGGTGCAGCGGCGGGTCGACCGGTGCAGCGGCGGGCCGGCAGGTGCAGCGGCGGGGCCGTAGGGTGCAGCGGCGGGGCCGTAGGGTGCAGCGGCAGGCCGGCAGGTGCAGCGGCGGGGCCGTCAGGTAAGGCGGCGGGCCGTAGGGTGCAGCGGTGGGCCGCAGGGTGCAGTGGCGGGCCGGCAGGTGCAGCGGCGGGGCCGTCAGGTGAAGCGGCGGGGCCGTAGGGTGCAGCGGCGGGCCGGCAGGTGCAGCGGCGGGGCCGTAGGGTGCAGCGGCGGGGCCGTCAGGTGAAGCGGCGGGCCGCTCGGTGCAGTGGCGGGCCGTAGGGTGCAGCGGCGGGCCGGCAGGTGCAGCGGCTGGGCCGTCAGGTGAAGCGGCGGGCCGCTGGGTGCAGCGGCGGGCCGTAGGGTGCAGCGGCGGGCCGGCAGGTGCAGCGGCGGGGCCGTCAGGTGAGGCGGCGGGCCGTAGGGTGCAGCGGCGGGCCGTAGGGTGCAGTGGCGAGCCGGCAGGTGCAGCGGCGGGGCCGTCAGGTGCAGCGGCGGGCCGGCAGGGCCGCGTCAGAGCCGGCGGCGGGGCCGCGTCAGTGGAGGCGGCGGGGCCGCGTCAAGCAGGCGGCGGGGCCGCGACGTAGCGGGCGGCAGGGCCGCGTCAGAGCCGGCGGCGGGGCCGCGTCAGTGGAGGCGGCGGGGCCGCGTCAAACAGGCGGCGGGGCCGCGATCAGGAGGGGTGGCGGGGCCGCGTCTGAGGGACAGCGGGGCCGCGAGGGAAATGGCGACCCGAGGGGTCGCTAAAAAAATGCGCGCCTCGGGGCGCGCTTCGGTGGGCCCTAAAAAAAACGGTCCTTAGGAAGGACCCGCTCTATACCATGTGAAACAAGTGAACAGGAATGAAATGACTAAGGAAAGATTGGGTACAAATACAACCCTAGAAATCCTGTACCGTCAGCCCCCGGATAGAAGCGGCCCTGGGGTTATAAAAAAACACTGTTTTTTAGGGGGTGGGCTTATAATTGAGGATTTTTATAAGCGCCGGGGCTTATAAAATGACATATATGAAATCTAGTTTTTTTACACCAAAGTGTTCATCTCGTCCTTGCGATTTGAATCGAATCGAGATTGTAGGGGGCTGGAATGTGAATCTCGCGTAAATTGGCAGTGGCTGATTCTCTGCCAACACGCACAGTCAGAATGAGTCAGATTAACCCCATGACAGGTCATTCTGACTGGACGCGAAGGCATTGAGTCGCGCGATGGTGAAGGGATTCGAATTTCTGAATGTTGGGATGCAAAAATTGTGTTTCGTTACAGCGTTTCCAGTAAAAATATTAAATATAATTCAGAGGGTGGCGCTTATAATCCGTAAGCCTTTAGGGGTGCGCTTATAATCGAGGACCGGATATAAGCGCCCTCATCCTTTTATAAGCGCCGGCGCTTATCCGAGGCCTGCGCTTCTATCCGGGGCCTTACGGTACCCCATGTGTGCTACCCCACTATAGCCTACAGCAAATATGTCATAAATCTGACACCTAGAGCGACTTCCCTCGACAATCCGGTCCCCAGATCACAAACTTTTGTGACGGAACTTCAGGAAGTCTGAGAAAAAGCCGCCGATGCAATTCGCAAGGCGAATATCACTTCCCGCAAATACATCGACCTTCTACGCCGGGAACTCGTATTGACTACTGGGCAACTAGTGCTACTCGACACGAAGAACCTGCACCTGCCCGGCCCGTCGAAATTACGGCCACGATTTTGTGGGCCTTTCAAGATTCTCAAGATGGTGACACCTGTCACCGTGAAGCTGCTGCTACCCGACGACTGGCGCATTCACGACGCCTTCCACGTCAGCCTGCTTCGGAAGTTCGTGCCAGCCACGATCGACATCGCGAGGCAACAAGCTGCACCAACTGCACGACCTGTCCCGGAGTCGACTCTCGACCCCTCGAAGATTCTGACACATCGTGTTCGCCTTGACGCAGCTGGTCGCCACGCTGATTTCCTCATCCGTTGGATTGACCTCACCAGTGAAGATGACACGTGGGTGCGTTCTGACTCGCTCGACGCCTCGTCACTTGTCAATGATTACTTGGCACGCAGGCGTGTTTCGGATATTGACCGCCTTTCTTAGGGCGTATTCCTACGGCCTCCTATCAAGAAACCTCCTATCAAGATTGTACCTTTTGCCTGGTAAAAGTAGCGAGAGATTTTGGGTTTAGGGAATTTTCCAGTGAGAGCTTGATAGGAGGTTTTCTTGATAGGAGGATAGGAATACGCCCTTAAAGGGGGGGGTACTGTAAGGAATTTTCCCGAATTCCTTATCGGGGTTGACTGCTATGCGTACAGCCCGATTTTCGGACTCTGAACGTTCGGCCGATTTCAACGCTGCCGAGGCTCCTCGCGTCGCCTTCGGCATTTTCCATCGCCAAACCTCGCTCGTCCAAGGTTTCCTCCTAGCTAGGCTAGCTCCTACATTAGTGTGTTCCTTCATTGTATTCTCAGATCAGTTAATCACAGTCTCGTTATTCGTCTACCTGCGCACTCTCTTTTACAACTCATAACACCCATTCTCATTTCACTGAGCAAATGATAAGGTAAGTAGTATGCTGCACATGCACTGTTCTGAAGCAATTATCGCAGCAAGGGTGTCTGTGCAGCATTCTACCGTATAGAAAGGTGCATGTGCACATGCCTAAACTCAGGAGACTACCGTACGAATTTGGTCATTTCAACAGTCCTTTTCTCCCCACTCTTGTAGGGCAAGTACTGTATTAATGTCTCTGACGGGTCATGGCTTGGGGTCTGGAAGGTTGTAATCAGCTAAATGTCCAGATTGAGAAAGCTTGCTTTCTTGTCCTTATAATTTGGCATCGTTCTCATTGCAACTGGCTTATTACAACATATGCATCGTTCGTAAACACATGCTAGTACATGCAAATATTACTAGCTATGGAGTCGTCCGTCCAAGCAGCTGTGGTCTTGTAGTTGGTCCGGGGTGGGTGGTGGGGATGTTGATTGAGCCGTTGGAAAACGAGAAATGTGGGTGGAGGGAATGAACTCCAACCCACGGTTTTTGTAGTTGGAGGAAGGGCGTTTAGCGCGCTTCGACGCTGCCAAACATTCGGTACAGTCAGCTTCGCTTTCACAATACACAATTTTGAAAAACATCAATGTGTTTAAAAATTATAATTTTTATCTACTAAACCTATCCGCTGCTGTACTGGAAGTGCTAAGAAGCTTCATAATGGCAAAATAAGATGCTAATGCAGACATTATTTTTTAGAGAATCCAAGCTTCACACACTGAAACATTATTTGGGCAATCAAATTTACAAAAACGAGAAATCCGTGCAGCATCCGACCTGACCTGGAACAAATCACAGTGGTACTGGTCTAACCTCTCATGTTCAGATTCGGAAACAAACCCCTACAAAGCCGGTCCACTGCCCCCAACGCGGTATAGAAAGTCAAGGAACCCAGTAGCGGACAGCAGGCCCTTGCCAGTAACAAGCTCGATCACCAGTAGACCCACAAAACCTGCCATTGCTGCTCGGCCGTTGAGCAACTCGTTTTGTGGTGAGAACCCGAATCCGCCTGCTGATTCATCCACCACCATCTTGGTCTGTGGTGGCAAGGAGGGAGCAATGACAGCAAGCAGAAGTCGTTGAGGAAAGGGGGAGGATGAAAAGGGAAGGAAGGTGCTGATGCTGCATGTACTATATCTGTGCCACCCCATTAACACATTTCAGGCATGCACAGTTCATTTTAAGAGTTGCAGGTGCGGACAACCGTTCATCTATCTCTTCTCGCTAGGGGTCATCATTTAGACAGCATTATGTGACAGGACTTCCATCGGGGTACAAACAAACACACCATGTGGTTGAAACAAAGAAACAATTGAAAAATTTCCTCACCTCGTTCACATTGACGTCAGAAACCGTTTGGCCGACCTTGGAAGCCTCACCCACCACCACCTCAGCAGCGCCGGCGGAGCCGCGGCCCATGTTGATGCAGACCTGGTAGTCCTCAAGCTTCACGGGGAACACCTCCAGCTGGCGGAGCGGCTTGGTCAGCGCGCGCAGCATAGGGTTCTTGGGGTACCACTCCTTGATCTCGCCGGTTTTAAGATCGAATGTGGTGTCAGTGGACGGACACACGATGCAGCCGTCCTGGAGGACGAAGAGAAAGAGGGATAGAGACGGCAGAGAGGGATAGAGAAGGCAGAGAGAATTTGAGAAGGGAGAAAGGGAGTTGGAGGAAGCGAGTTTGAAGTGACAAAGAACGTCCTGGTTTAGTCAACATGGACGGGTAGGGGATGAAGTGGATCGGAGACGGAATAGAGTGGGCGTACGCTTTAGAGTTCGTGCTCGCTTGCTTGCACTGGAAATCGACTGAACCAGATATACAGCGTGTAATGTACAGCGCGTGTTGTGGTTCCGTTGTAGGAGAGAAATGTGTGGTAATGCAACGAGTCTGAATATTGCCGTTACCAACCTGGGTGAACCTGGCGTTGAGAAATCCCTCCGAGTACGCTCCCTCTGCAGGCGAAATGTTCTCCACGGCGTAAATCTCGTTCCGGTACCAGAACAGAAGAATCTCCTGGCCGTCCTGCCTGATCAGTCGCCTCTCTCCCTTGGGAAGAGCCTCCATAGGAATTACCGGCACCCAGTTATCAGTGGACGCTGCTGCAGCTGTGACTTCCGTGCCGGCGGCAGCACACACGACCGACCTAAACTGAGATTGCGCGGAGGTTGCCTGGAACGAGCACAGCGAGACGCCATTGCTCACTGACGCTCTGGTGGGTGAGAGTCTGATGGTGGGAGCTCCTGTGAGGAAGGAAGAGGGGGTCAGCGCCTGACGAAGGGCGACGGACGAGGCCATTACTCCAGAAAGATATATATATCAAAGAAACAGTGGGTAATCCTGGAAACGAAAGAACTACGCTGTTCAGACTCAACAGTCGCGCAGGTGGAAAAAATTGTAAGACAAAATGTTTCGCACTTTCGTAATTCAGGGGAAGATTTCGCATTTATCCTTCTGAAATGGAAATGGCACTGCAGGGAGGGGGGGAACTTGCACACGAAGTTGGGAGAGAGAGGGGGGAGCGTGAACCTTGGGAGAATCCAGGTGGCCGAGAGATTGCCACGTCCAGTTCCCGCCAACCAGTCGCTTCTGGGAGTTTGCGCGGGGAACCATGTTCTAGACGGGGGTGTTTTGACCACGTCAGGGTGGATGCAAAATCTACGTGGCTGTAGCTCATTGCCCCACGTCGTTGCAGCCAAATCATTTGAAGTAACGTGATTGGGTGATTGTTGCTCAGAGAAGTTCCATATGGAGTCACCTGATGCAGAAACTTTTCATGGTTTACCGCCTCATCCATACAAATTCGTTTTTGAAGCGAGTACATTGTTATCGAGTATTTCTGTGTGCTACACCGATATGCGATGGCCGTCGATCTGGTTACAGGGTCCCAGAAATACCTGTGAGCTCGGTTTGTCGCCACATCTGGCCTAAGCTCATGACGGAATATTGCGAAGGGGCTCATAAGATGTCACATGTCCCTGAGCAGAAAACATGCTCAATAAAAAATGGAAACGGTCTGATATGTTGTAGTTAGATACGAGGGTGGTAGAGCGTGGTGCGCGTTCTAAGATTGAAGCACCAGCAGCTTTGGGCTCAACGCAGTACAGAACTAGGAGCAGTACTTATCACAGGAAAAATATCACCTCTGGGAGTGCCGGCCCTAGTGTCCGCACTCTGGCGACTAAGGCCGTGCTGGAGTCCTTTTGAGAACCTAGAACTGTTTCGAAATAAGCATATCATCTATCCCCGCTAGGCCGTGCTCGTTTGTAGAACCAAGAACTTTCTTGTTATAAGCAAATTCGTTACCCCGTTATGGCGACAAAGGCCGTACTCGACATCATGCAAGGCGTGCTGGTGTCGTTCGGCACGAGCATGGCGACGGCAACGAGGGAGGAGCAGCGCACGTGGTGGGCGGAAGACGCCACGTGGCGAGCGGAGGACCTGGACTGGCGGGGAGAGGAGAAGGCGGTTTACGAGGCGGAAGGCGAACGCAGGATACGAATGCGGAAGTTAGTTTGTTCCCTCATAGTTAATTAGTCTGGTTCTTCCGTGTGCATCGTTTGTGGAACTCCTGCGACCGTTTTTGTCATCAACTCCTGCATAGAATCCAGATATATGTTTTCTATGGAATTGTAAATTCGAGTCGGCTTGAGGGTTCCTAAGCTTTCTCATTCCCTCGCTCTCCTATCTCGTCGCTTGCTCTGTACGCAGGTGGCACCAAGAGGATATTGACCAAATGAACCTGGAAAATGCGAGGGTATTATGGCTCAGGTAACACAGGTACTGCGCTACTGTGAGTGTATGCTCCATAAAAAATCATGAAAAACCTTCAGAAGGTGCAGCCTTGTTCCCGTTTCCCATCACTACAAGCCGTGAGGGTTCTCTAAGAAAAAATCGGGCGGTCGTGGGACCAGAGTAACTGCTGATTCAAGTTTTCCCCTCTCCGCGTGCTGCCATCAGGTTCGTGGAGAAGAATCGGCGTGACGTAGAGGAGAAGACGGAGCAACTGAAGGCCATATCCAGCATCTCGGCTCTCTTTGGTCTCTGTGCCACAGTCACGCTTACCCAGCTCAGCCTGGATAAGGAGGGAGAGACTACCGCACCTATTGTAAGTAGATTTGATTCCTTATTTTCGGCGCTATGTATGCAAAATTCCAGCCATTTGGTCATATTCATTCAAACACTTTTGTTCCACGAAGTTCTTATTTTGTCGTGTGTGCTTTTTCTCCATGCAGGGCTTGATTGCTTTATATGCACTCACAACAGCACTCGTGGTACGTGGAATTGTGTCAATTCAATCGCAGGGTGTCAGTCCAATACACCTCTCACTCATTCTACCACTCAAAACTGCAGGACTTCCCGTCACCATCGTCTCCCCCCATATGCATAATGCATTTCATGTACGCAGTTCTCATCCGCACTCAGCCACCCGTTTGTTCTTCCACTCTTCATGCACCCTCCCCTACGCTAACCCTCCTTGCCCCTGCCTCACACACTCCCTCTCTTTGCTCCTCCTCAGGAGGGCCTCATGATTGTCTCCATGGTCACCTGCGCGCTGCTTCTAGGAAGCATCTTGAAGGTCGGCAAGACCTTTGTGAGCGAGCGGGAGGAGCAGGAGTTCATGGCGGCGTGCCTTCGCTTCTGCGCGCTCTACCAGCGAGGCGACCGTCCTCCCCACCCCCGCAAGTCCTTTGAGGCCTTCTGGGCTTCCAGGTGATTCTTGAGGGTAAGGGTGGGTGGTGGGACGTGGTGGGAGAATGCCAAGGATGTGTCTGGATAGTGAATGTCAGGCGCTGTGCGTTTGGTCCGGCATTGTGTCACTGACATGTGTGATTGTTCCTGCTTGCGATGCATTTTCAGGTGTGAGGGGAGCTGGCAACTTGCCTTTCAATGCTGCTGCTTGGGTAAGATCTGGAATTTGACATTCTGGTGACGTTTTCTGCTTCTTGCATTGTCGGTGGCGATATGAGGTGTATCAATTCTGATGTCCTTTTCTGCTCCACCTGGCAGGTGTGACTTCTTTTCTCGTTAGCATGATCTCTGTTGGGTAAGTAATCAGGGATGGGCGTGGGCCTTGGTTGAAGTGGATGGGTTTGTGGCTGTAGACTTACGGGTTCTGAATATTTGACTTGTTTTTCCTTGCAGGTGGATTGTTTTCATCCCACATGAGATCACTCAGGTGTCGTTCGGCATTGCTGTCGCATTGGCCGTGTGCCTATGGTAGGCTGTTGCATCTGTGGTTCTCTTGCAACTAATGTATGTAACTGTTCCATTTCATTCGTGCCCTACATCACTTGATGAGTCACCATGTCGGCTATCTGTGGTTTCAGGACCTATGTTCAGTGGGCATGGGGAGCTTATTGGAGAAGTAGTCGAAGAGCCAAGGAAACTGGCGATTTACAATATTCGAGATCTATTTCTCGGTCATCTAGAGCATTATTTTCATCGTCTCGCAGGAGCCTGCCAGCAATTAGTGCTCAACCTCCTGGCGGATTTGCAGGTTTACCATTTGACTGGCATACTGCTCCGCACCACCTTCCGCCATAAATGTTAGCGTCTATCGCACTCGCTCACAATCTAGAGGTCAGAGCTTCATTGGTGTAGGTTGGGTCCAGTCCAAGACAACTGCACCTGTGAAGCAGTTAACAATGCGCGATCCGTAAGCTATTTGCGGATCCCTCTTATCGGATATGAGAAATCTGACTCGCTGTCGGAACCTCCCGCGCGCTTTCAAAATTTTCCCGCGCCCCGACATTGCCTCGGCCTCACCCACCAGGCAAGCCAACGCGGCTCAGGCGAGAAGAAGCGACTGACACGCTGGGGAGACACGAACTGACATTCAACAAACAGAATTGGACAAACACGGAAGAAACCAGATGTTCAGCGAAGGCAGGACGCCAGGTAATGGTAGAGCTGATGCCTGGAGTCACTTGAGACATGTCATGGAACCACTGAACTATGTGTGACTGCAAAAGCAACAGCACCCACATCAGAAGATCCTTAGTCTAGTCAATCACGGAAGGGTTAGTTCAGAGCAGCCTGATAGAGTCAGCCTCCACCAGCATTAAGGTACTAGCCTAGTAGGCAGTGCGACCAGGAAAGAGTATCGATAATTTGCGGTTAGGTGTACTCGAGCGAGAAGTGTCCGTCGTCAAGGGACTCATTCTGGAAAGTGTCAGGGCTTGGGTGCACACCTGCGAGAGGAGCTATTGATTCATCGGTCAGAGATTTAATAGCGTAGCTCAGCGTTGTCAGGTTCGCCATCTATAGCCAAAGACTTTCCCGTTCTCAAATTCAGCTAGTCACTCTTTAACACCATGGAGGCTCAATCGGTCCAGGCTGGCGGAAGTACACCTCTTCCTAGAAGAGTCATTAGCGACGCAGAAACGAGAGTTCGAGTCGTCGCAAAAAATCGTCCGCGCATTCCATCTGACCAGCCACGGGAGGGGTTCCAGGAGCGTATGGTGATAGAGCGTGAAGAAGACAGTGTGAACCTGAACTTCCCTGATCCCTGGTGAGGAAGCTTCTTAAGTCGTTTTTTTCCGTTTAGTTTTGCATTTTCGCTTTTAGTTTTACCGGTGTTCTTGGTATTATTTGATAGCTCAACTCAACTGACTTTGCTTTCCTGGTGCAGGCCCGGAAAGAGCTTCAACCTTGATGCGCTGTACGATGAAACCGACAACAGCCGGACCATTTTCGGCAAAGAGATCGAACGACGCCTCGCATCACTCAGTGACGGCTACAGCCTGACGGTCCTTGTTTACGGTGCTTCCGGCAGCGGAAAAACTTACCTCATGCAGGTACGACCTGATTCTTCAGTGAACATTAAACAGCATAGACAATCAGCATAACAAGTTTTCGTGAATGTGTAAAACTTTACGAGTTACTAACTTATCCCTTTTCTGGTGGAGCAGGGAGATGGCGATGATGTTCCAGGGCTGGTATCCCTCTGCGCAGCGTGGATCGCAGCTAATCAGCTTGAGCGCGAAGGATACCAGGTGTCCTTCTCCTATTCCGAGCTGTACGGCAGCAAGGTCTTCGACCTTCTGCAGCCCCAGCAGCTCGAGATCATGGAAGACTCGGATCATGTGTTTCAGATTCCTGGTCTGCATGAGGTAAGCACGGATGAACTTTGCCGTTTCAGGTCATAGCAAACGAGGAATTAAGAGCACCTGGCTGTTGCTTCCGTTTCACACGTAACCGTTTCGTTTCTCGCAAGTGCGAAACGTGCGAAAGGTGTTTGGATACCACCAGCTTTACTCATTCCCTTCCGGTTGTCAATGGTGCAGGAAGAATTTGGTTCACTGGAATCGTTCCTCACGGCGTTTTCAAGAGCCAAGGGAAGACGACACCTCGCAGCGACGGAGGTCAACGCCGTCTCCAGCCGCTCGCACGCCATTCTCCAGTTCAACGTATGGCGGGACGACAATCCTGGCATCGTCGGCCGTCTCAAGCTCGTGGATCTGGCAGGTGCGTCAACCTTGATGTCTACGCATGCGTCGAGATATCCAACGAGCCAGACATAACGTTCGCAGCAAATGAATTCGAGAATTTGCCGTTATCAAGAGCATTTTACGTGATTTTCGAGTAATTTGTGAACGTCTGTCTGATGCAATCGTGATATTCTACTTTCCTCTCGTTGCAGGTCGCGAGCAGAACAAGGAGACGGGCAACACGGGCCAACGGATGACGGAGAGCTGCGACATCAACCTGTCGCTCTCGGCGCTGAGTCGCGTGATAGAGCAACTCAACGACCCGAATGCGAAGCACGTCTCTTACCGCGGAAGCAACCTCACCAAGGTCCTGCAGGACTCCCTTGGAGGCAGCAGCCGGGGAGTCATGATCGCCTGCCTGGTAACTGCTGCATTTCGCTTCTCCACTTCCTTCAGAACTCACGGTTTCTTTACACGTGCATGAGCTTCGACAATCTTGTCCTCGCCATACACTACGTTTTACGTTCGAGAATATTGAAGGATGGCATGTTGTTTTCCATGGTTTGTTATATTACTGAACGCTTTTCCTTTTCTGTCCACCCGGCAGGCTCCGAATGACGACAAGCTGGCGATGGCGGTTCTGGAGGTGGCGGCGCAGTCTCGCCTGATCCGCAACAACGTCTCCAAGACCGTGCTGCCTGCCACCCCGAAGCAGACCGTGGCGGACCGGCGCTCCCAGCTCTCCGCGTTCAAGGCGAAGAAGGCCGCCAGCAAGGCTATCGTCCCGAGCAGCTCTGCCGGGTGAGTCCGCGTCTGAACAAATTGAACTATGGACGATTCAACAACGTAGCAATGCTGACGCTGACGTATCACACGAGAAGACGTGGAGTGATTTATCTGAAACCACTGATTCTAAAGGCTTGCAAGCTGGTGTTGTGTGTGCAGGCCTTCTTCATTCAGTGCTCAAAAGGGTTACATCCCTTACCCTGCTCGAGTTCCACGAGAGGTAAAAGGGGGATTTGGGTTCGTGCATTGCAGAGTTGGTGCATGGGTTGGTGCATTGCTGGGTTGGTGCATTATTAAATCATAACTCGGAACCTGGAACTCACGTGCTGTTTACTCTGGGTTGTTCTCATGCATGCAGCAACAAGTGGCTGGAGAGCTTCACCGCATCCTCGACCCCACTCTCTTCAAGAGAAGCCCCATCAGAGCGACCTCCGCTACCAACTCCACGCCCAGCCTCATCCCCAGGCCTCGCTCGTCTCTGCTCACCCGTCGTCCCGGCGACTTCCTGAGATATGCTGCAGAGGCACTGGGAACGGATCTAGCACAAGAGGAACCTGATTCTGCAGCAGCGGCAGTGGCTGTGGCAGAGGCGGCATCAGCATCCGCGTCAGCGTCAGGGTCAGCGGGCGGTGGTGCAGAGAGGGGGGCGAGCAGCGGGGGTGGGAGGAGGATGCGGATAGCGGAGAAGATGACGGCGAGCATGGCGGCGAAGATGGCCTCCGCATCTGAGGCTCGCCAGGCTCTTGCCTTGAAGCGCAGCATGGCCAAGCACCACTCGCCAAAGAGGGCCGCCGCCGCCAGGCAGAGGGGGATGATCAAGCTGTCAAGCTCCGTCTCCCACGCGAAGCCAACTGGGAATGCTGCTGGGAAGGCTGGTGGGGAGGCTACTGAGAAAGCTGCCAGGAATCCTCAGCGCCAGGGGTCGTCGGGGACGGCTGCAGCAGCGGATGCTGTTGTTCAGGCAGCTGCAAACCGTGCAGCCGACGAGCTCCAGCGCCAGCGGTCGCGTGATGGCGTCGTGGCTGCTATGTCCGCTGCGGCAGCTGCAGCGAGCGTGGCGGCAGCAGCAGCGACGGCCGCGGGGAGTCCGCTTGCGCCGAATGCGCAGCAGGCGCATTTCCTCCTCATGGACACCCTGCGCCAGCGTCGGGATGGCGGAGTGCTAGCTGCAGGGGTGGGGGGTGCGCCGGACGGGGTAGGCGCACCAGAAGAGGACGGGGTTAGTGGTGAAAGTGGTGAAGAGAGTGAGCAGGGTTCGATGGAGGATGGGGACGAATTGTCCTTTGCGACTCCCGGAGGGAGGCTGAGTGACGGGGAGATGGTGGGCGAGAGTGAGGGCGAAGTGGAGGGAGAGGACGAAGGCACGAGTGTGCGGGACAGGGGGGTTTCGCCGAAGAAGCTGTGGGAATGTTACCGGGACAACGCTGCTGCTGCCTCTGACACGTTTGAAGCATCCACGTGCCATGGCAGCTCGAACGGCAGCACCACTGGCAGCAGCGCGGGGTCGGGAGAGGAGGCAAGCACCGCCAACCAAGACAGTGCTGACAGCAAGGAGGAGATGGGGACAATGGGGCCGCTGGAGGGGGAAGGCGGTGGCGTCGTGGGCATTGAAGGTGCAGGTTGTGGGGAGGCGGGTAGTGAGAAGGTTGAGGGCGGCGAGCAGGTTAAGGGCGGCGAGGAGATTGCGGGGGGGAAGGAGGTTGAGGGTAGAGAGGGGGTTGCGGGTGGAGAGGAGGTTGAGGGTGGAGAGGAGGTTGAGGGTGGCGTGGGAGGTGAGAGTGAAGTCGAGGTGGAGGCTGGTGAGGGAACGGAGGGTGGAGAGCAAGTTGAAGGTGGGGAGGAAGTGGACGAAGGGTATGAGGGCGAGATGGTAGGAAAAGAAGAGGAAGAAGTTTCAGGAATGGCAGCAGGCGATGGGGCTACAAGCGATCCCACGTTGGATGAAGAGGCAGCACATGCAGAAGCTGCAACCCATTCCGGTGCAGCAGAGTCCTCTCCTGCAGCCTCGGAACTAGAGCACATTTCAAGTGTGTGGGCGATGGAGGAGGTGGAGGAAGAATTGGGCGATGGTGCTGGATGCGGGGCCGTCGCGTTCTCTCTGGTTCCGGTTGCAGGGGAGAGCATAGCAGAGGAGGGCGAGGAGGAACAGGGAGAGGGAGCGCAGGAGAAAAATGTGCAGGAGCAGGGAGAGGGAAGGAGGGACCAGGTGCCGAATTCACAGGAGCAGAACCACGGCCCATTACCCCTGCAGCCGTTGACTGTGCTCTCAGGGACACCTTCTAGGCAGCCCCTCAGCACAGTATCGACCAACCAGTCATCACAGCGGCCTGCCTTCCTTAACGCTATGGTAAGTGTTGTCTATTCAAAGCCATGCATTTTAGGGAGGGCGCTCTGGATTTTATAAAGTGGCACGGGTGATATTAATGAAACGCTCGTTTGTTCTGCTGTCCCAGGTGTCGTGCGAAGCACCGGATGTGTTGCTTGAGGGTGCCATGAGGGGCCTTAGCATCGTGGACCCCTTGACCCCAGCCTGTGCCAAGGACGTCGGGACTCAGTTCGTGGTAAGTCCTTCCAATTCAGCTCGTGCAATTTGGGCATGCTACCTATAATGTTTCAATTTCACTTGAATCCAATTTAATTGTTCCGGGATTCTTTTCATGTGCAGGCTATTGCAGAGGCGGAGCTCCTTCAGAAATTCAACACGGCAACCAAGTAAGTGCTCGGGAAGCAGCTTATAGAAAGCCACAAACTCTGCTCATTTCTGTTCTTGTAAATGTCCACCACCCTATTATGTGCTTTCGGTTACTAATGCATTCGCACATGTCTCCTTCCTCCCTCCTTATCTCCCTCCCTATCTCCCTCCCTCCCTCACTCACTCCCTCCCTCCCTCTTTCCCTCCCTCTCTCACTCTCTCTCCCTCCGTCCCTTTCTCTCTCGTCTCTACCTCCGTCCTTCCCTCCCTCCCTCCCTTCCTCCCTCCCTCCTTCCCTCCCCTCGCCACTCTTCATGTCTACTCTCGGAACCTTCCGCCACATGGGACACTTGTGCAATGCAGGGAGGAGCTAATGCAGCTGACGGTGAGAGTGCCATTTGTTTCAGCTGTAGGAATCACTCTTCTCAAACCACTTTCAATGTAGCTGTTTCCAAGAGTAAGACACTTGATACTGAAAGCCATCCTTTCCCTTTTCAGGGTATCGGTCCAGCCCGTGCAACAAAAATCTGTGACTTCCGCAATACTCCGGGTGCGGGAGCCACTCCTTTTCAAGCGGTGAGTATTGCTTTTGCATTTCCTGCAAGGATTCATTCCCCCTGTTCAGTGAGACTGAAACTGCGCTTGCGTCTACTGAACTTGCCATCATGCCCACCTCCAGAAATACTGGTTTGGTTTCCCGTGGAATTGCCATTTTATGGTTAGATGGTATTTTGGATGATACTCCTCTGTATGTTTCCTCCCCTGCGTGGTTCGTGTCGCAGTTCACGGACCTCACTAAAGCAGGGATCAAGCTCAAGACGGTAAGGCCTCAAAGTCCACACTTTAACGATCGAGCCTCAACTATGAATGCTTTGTTGTGCCCTGCACTGCATTGCACTGTACTACTGTTGTTTCCACTGCCAAAGTAACTAACACCAATGTCCCGTTCATGTGCAGGCACAAAGTATCCGTGAAGGCAACATCAAGAAAATGATCCACTTCTGAGTTTCTGGTCATGTAGGATACCATAAAGCTCCTCGCTCGGTGTATTACAGATTTTCCCACTGTCGTTGGTCAATGTCGTGATGACCACTTCATATAGATATATGCCATCCTACGTGCAGCGAATTATGGACATATACTCACTCGCAGTCTTGTGGTAGGATTGACTTATTTCATTATGTGGAGCCATTTTCTGGCATTGTTTTGTCAAATCATTGAGATAAGATATGTGACACATGAGATATCGTAGGGGAAGAAATCGTGGTGCACACGCGCGAAAGAAGCAAGAAATGTAGCAGTGAAGCGAATGGAGTCGGAACCTACCGGAACCGAAGCTTTCACCGGTACAGCTCTCCACCATCCCAGTTCGCGGTGCAGCCCGTGAAGGCCACGCCCAGACCACACCTCCCTTGTTCCCACAACTCACGCGAAACAGATTTCAGCGCCCAATAGACCACAGATGTACCGCTGTAAAGTCTCATCTCCACGAGGTGTATGCCGTGTGGCTTTCTCCACCGTTTCATCTGGGCTTCCTCCACACCACCACCGTGCCGTCTCCATGCCTGTTCCACGCCTCTCTCTCGATTCCCGTTGCAGAATGCCCCCACATCTTCCCTCCATTTATCCGTTCTTCCCCTTCAACTGTGCTTTCCCTGGGGTGAGCGAGCAGCCTGATCAATGAAGTAGGGGAGATGACAGCCGACATGTTACCGTAATCTGGTTTTGAGATGTCAATCACAGGGTGCAGCTTTTCATGGCTGGTGACAAGGCACAGCGACTGCTGGGTGTGTGCTGGGTGCTTCAGCAGCACACAGCCTCCGTATGGTAACCGCCTGTATGTCTATGGAGCATCTTCATTCCGTCGACCGATAAGTTGAGGGTTTTCGCTTCTGATCTTGGGAACAAGGCTGATAAAGCTCGAGCCTGTCTCAGGTTGGATCAAGTCAGCCTCGTGTCCGCCTCCTGAGATCAACTTTCCGATTCACAGTTTCTGCATCTGGTCACCCTCACCGTCTAGCGGTTGCACTTCGAAAGACTTATCCTTTTTTCTGATAACCACTCTCCGCAGTGGAGTGGAGCGTTTTATCAGATATCACCAGTTTTCTCTTTCCGTAGAAACGATCCTGCGTGTGCCAATCAACATGGCTGTTTGGAAGAGATACCTGATCACTTTCCTGCTGCTCGCATTATTCGTAACAGTCGCACTTGCGTCCGAGGAAGAAGAAGAAGAGGCAAGCTCGGTCAGTGTACCTCATCCCACATATCCATTTTGTAAACAATTAAAATGTACTGAGGCCGATCAGCTGAAAATGCTAACCAGCACAGTTTTTTGTTCTTTCTCGCTGTCACGTGATTTTTTGCTGACAATGTATCCAACCCCGTCCCGCCGCTATTTCTTGTGTCAGGGATCGAAAGACTCGACGCAAACCCTGAACGCAAACAAGGCGGGAGCCATTTTCGTTTTCTTCGCGTGCAGCTTCCTTGGCGTATGGCTTCCCTACTTCATTCCGGTCCACCAGCTCATTCTCAAGTTCGGAATTCTCTTTTCGACTGGTCTCTTCATCGGCATGTCACTTCTCTATCTCGCAGTTGAGACATTCGAGGAGATGGAAGAGCTCGCTGGAAAAGGTAGGCACATCTTCGCTCTCACTCGCTCGCCCTCTCGCCACTCACTTGCCTTCATTCGTTCACCTAAGCTTCATCTGTCATTAGATCCGGTTTTTCAGAGTACATCTTCAAATGCCGTCGATTTACGGCAGATGACATCCTGCTAACCCTGTTTCTCTCCGTTTGTTGACAGATTACCCTTACGGAATGCTGGTCATTGTGATGGGTATCTACCTCACGTGGCTCTGCGACCTCATCGTGAAGACCATTTGGCGAAAGAGATCTGGCTCTTTCGAAGAGAAGGTGCGTATCATAAGCCTCTAACAAGAAGACAAAACCTTCAATTGAAAAAAACACGAAGAAGTCTCGAAAGTTTGCGTGAGAATTTCACTGACATTATCTCGCCATCTTTTTCAGGAAGAGGAGCTGGGTCCAACAGTTGCTGGCGCCATGGGTGCTGGCCAGACCAAGGTGGTCGACGCAGACTCGGAGAATCAGAAGCAAATCGACGTGCAGGCTCTTTCCATCGTCGATGTCATCGTCGTGCTCTTCGCCCTCTGCTTCCACGCCTTTTTCGAGGGCATGGCTGTCGGCCTTGCGTCAACGGTTCAAAGAGTGTGGACCATGACTGCTCAGATTGGTGTCAATGAGGTAATAACCTCGTCCCAACATCTGCCATGAAATTCTCCGTTTCTTCATCTGAAAGAAGGATGATTTGCATTCCGTTATGTTTTCCCCTTGTTTAGAATCTACAGGGGGTCCCCTGCGTGTTGTTTCACATGTTTGCAGTTTTTCGAGGGCATGGCGCTTGGGGTGACTCTCCGCGTTCAAGACACGTCCCGCTCGTGGCTCAACCACCTGCTCTTTGCCATTGGAGCTTCCATCGTCGCTCCCACTGGAATCGCCATTGGTCTCGCGATTGATTCAGCAAGCGGCAAAGAGGCTAGGAACTGGGTGAAGGCCTTCGGAAACGGCATGGCTGCCGGGGTATTTATATTTATCGCTCTTGGTCATTTGCTGGCCAAGGGAATGAAGCCAGGAGCCAATGATAGGTGGTGGATGGTGTTCGTCAAGTGGTTTGTGGCAGGGCTTGGTGTCATGACCAATGCTCTACTCCAGCTGTGGGGAGAGAGCTGAACATAGCAGCTCTCAGCAAGTGCTAGACTACTGATAATTTAGGAATTGTATTATGAGCTACCTAATTATATCCAAGCAAATGTCGTCCCTCATGATATAATTTCTGCAGGGGAGCAATATTCATACCCACAAAAACAATGTGGAACACTATTTATCCCAGGATAATAATAATAGTAGTAATAACAATAAGAAAAAAGTCCTACAGCTGAGTAGGGATGGTAAATTGCTAATATCAGTATGCGGCATGGTAAATTGCTACGATAATACCAGAAGCCCATTATTGTCCGCGCACCATGAAGCCCATTTGAGCATGATTTAGTATTGCTAACTATACCGTAGCTAGCATATAAAAGCAGAGGAGAAACTTGCTCTTGCTGCTCGAATTTGCTCCCATAGCCTCTCCTCTCCTGTCCGACAAAACAGATAGAGCATGGGAAAGGCAGGGTAATCAAACGAAACTGAAGCCCATACAATATGCACAAAGCATACGAAGGATACGAGGAGAAGTGGAAGTGGGACGCGTCAATGCACAATAAGGAAGAGGGTTGAATGGAGGACACAGAAAAAAGAAATACCTTATTACCTTATGTCGCTTCCCCCTCATTTCTGCTGCTGCTCCTTCTCCTGTGTCATGCCAGCACCCGATCACCTGAGAGTCACAATTGCTTAGGAGAAAACAGAGTGAGTGGGAGATGAGGAAGTGGGAGTATCAGGGCATGTTCCTACAGCCCCTTATCAGACGAACCTCTTGTCAGCTTCGCATGGTTAAATTTGTTTCAGTATAATCAACTGCGGTTACGTGTGTTTCAGTGCGGTTCGACGCGAATCTGACTAGAGGCCGTAGGAACACGCCCTCAAGACACAAAAAACAAGAGGGGGTGGGTGAAATAGAGAACAGGCACGAACACGCTAAAGGTAAGCATTTTACCGTACTAGGAACTAGGAAAAACTAAGCAATCTTTCAGGAAAGAGAACGAGCCTTAACATGCCACAATGCACTCCCATGTGCTCCCTTCGTGCCCTTCCATGCTCCCAAGACAACGATAAATATATACACAGGATAAAGATATACCGGGGGGAGTAGACAAAGACGTACATACCTACATAAGAAGGGAAAATACACAAGCCAGCAAAAGGTGACCCAGAATAGCAGAGACCGAGGAGTGGATTGTGGTAACTTGAAATCTTACCAGAGTTTCGGTTCGGAGTGTAGGTTCGGTCAGGGCAGCGCTACTCCCTTTTGTTCACTGCCTTTCACTCATTTCATCTGAGGATCTAGGGATTTGGGTTCTTAGAACAAAGTGATGTTGGGGGCACAATGCAATTTCCTACTGGAACAGATGTGGGCACACAGCATAGCGTACGCGAGGGATAGCAACCCAAGGGCTAGAAAAAGCATGTGCCCAAAAGGGGGGCTGGAGAAAACATGTGCTGAAGGGGCTAGAGAAAGCATGTGCTCAAAACAGGGGCAAGAGAAAGCATGTGCCCAAAACAGGGGCTAGAGAAAGCATGTGCCCAAAACAAGGGCTAGAGAAAACATGTGCCCAAAACACGGGCTAGAGAAAGCATGTGCCCAAAACAGGGGCTAGAGAAAGCATGTGCCCAAAACAGGGCTAGAGAAAACATATGTCCAAAACAAGGGCTAGAGAAAGTAGGTGCCCAAACAGGGGCTAGTAGAGAAAGCGTGTGCCCTAAAGAGGGGCTAGTAGAGAAAACATGTGCCCAAAACAGGGGCTAGAGAAAGCGTGTGCCCAAAACAGGGGCTAGAGAAAGCATGTGCCCAAAACAGGAGCTTGTAGAGAAAGCGTGTGTCCAAAACAGGGCTAGTAGAGAAAGCATGTGCCCAAAACAGGGGCTAGAGAAAGCGTGTGCCCTAAACAGGGGCTAGAGAAAGAGTGTACCCAAAACAGGGGCTAGAGAAAGCATGTGCCCAAAACAGGGGCTAGAGAAAGCCTGTGCCCAAAACAGGGGCTAGAGAAAGCATGTGCCCAAAACAGGGGCTAGAGAAAATAAGTGCCCAAAACAGGGGCTAGCGGAGAAAGCGTGTGCCCAAAACAGGGGCTAGAGAAAGTATGTGCCCAAAACAAGGGCTAGAGAAAACATGTGCCCAAACAAGGGCTAGTAGAGAAAGCGTGTGCCCAAACAGGGGCTAGTAGAGAAAGCGTGTGCCCAAAACAGGGGCTAGAGAAAGTATGTGCCCAAAACAGGAGCTTGTAGGGAAAGCGTGTGTCCTAAACAGGGGCTAGTAGAGAAAACAAGTGACCAAGACAGGGGCTAGAGAAAGCATGTGCCCAAACAGGAGCTAGTAGAGAAAGCGTGTGCCCAAAACAGGGGCTAGTAGAGAAAACATGTGCCCAAAACAGGGGCTAGAGAAAGCGTGTGCCCAAAACAGGGGCTAGAGAAAGCATGTGCCCAAAACAGGGGCTAGAGAAAACATGTGCCCTAAACAAGGGCTAGAGAAAGCATGTGCCCAAACAAGGGCTAGTAGAGAAAGCGTGTGCCCTAAACAGGGGCTAGTAGAGAAAACAAGTGACCAAGACAGGGGCTAGAGAAAGCATGTGGCCAAACAGGAGCTAGTAGAGAAAGCGTGTGCCCAAAACAGGGGCTAGTAGAGAAAAAATGTGCCCAAAACAGGGGCTAGAGAAAGCATGTGCCCAAAACAGGAGCTTGTAGAGAAAGCATGTGTCCTAAACAGGGGCTAGTAGAAAAAACAAGTGACCAAGACAGGGGCTAGAGAAAGCATGTGCCCGGGTTGGAAACAGTGTGACCTCATGTTGATGCTTCCGCTCAACCGCAGTTGCTCCCTCCACTACTGTCCATCGTACCTGAAGGCGAAGCGCAACAAGAGCGAGAGAGGAAAGAGCAGGTGAAACGTAGGCGGCGTGAAGGGAAACTGTAAAGGTGTTGAAAGGGGCATGTACATAGACATACGTGAAGGTGGTGAAAGAGGCAGTAGCGAGAAAACAGCAAGCTCAAGTGGCCCAGCTGCTCACGCACAAGCGAAAAACAGCAAGCTCAAGTGGCCCAGCTGCTCACGCACAAGCGAAAAACAGCAAGCAAGAGTTACAGTTAGGGCGCGTAACCATTTTGCACTTTTAGATTTTGACGTACCGTCCGATTATATGGAATCGGACTGTACGTTTGTAACGAAACGGACTGTCCGATTTGAATGTTTGCAACTTCGGACTGTCCGAAGGCAGATGTGACACTTTTTCCACATGCTAGGGTTTCGCGATGGTTTTCCCTTCGCCATCTCAAATGTACACCAGTAACGCCAGTCGCAACCCATCGCAATTTTCGCCAGTTGAGTTCAGCGCTTCGGACAAACATAGGAAATGTCAAACAAGCACAAAGGCCGTCCAAACCAAGCCCATTCAATGTCAGAGGTGTTGGAGGGAAACGGTGGTGGGGCGGTGGTATGCCCCCAACCCACCGAGGGCAATTCGGTGCCTTCGATCCCTTTGACTAGGGATCGGTGGGGTGGCACCGATTGACTTCGGAGACTCACCCTTGGGTGCCACGTGGCGGCACCATACTCCAACCATGGAGTTGAAGTCACATTCGGTGTGTTCGGTGAAATTCGGTGGCCGAATTTCACCCAACCGAAATTGTTACACGCGACGCACTAGCGACGCGAAATGTAGCGACTCGATGTTACACATGCGGTTCGATGTAAATGAGTTGCTATAAATTGTGATTGATTTGTATGCATGACTGATATAGTGAAATCCTGAATCTCCTTGTACATGGTACAACTCGACAAAATTCCAGAGAGTTCCTAATCTCTATTCCTAGAGCATAGTCTTCACGTTTCCAGCCATAGCTCACTCGTTACTTAGGCGAACGAAGTGAGACAGAGCTCTATTGTTTAAAACATTTCCCAGTTCGTGGAAAGTAGAGGAGAGTCCTCTACATCAAGAGGGTCACAACAACCTCAATCTAGAGCAGAGACATCCCTCTGCTCAAGCGTATGTCGCGCCGCCACCTACTATCCATACTACACCTCTTGTTTAGAGGTTACCAAGAGTTTATTGTCCGACCAGGGCTCGACTACATTGCGGAGATTGTCCTACTGCTCGATGACGAGGACTGCCACACCATGCAACGGGACCGTGAGAGACAGAGGGAGAGGTGGGATTATCTTCTTGGCGGAATGCCTCGTCATGTTTTCACAGACACCTTCCGCGTTAACCGTGCAGTTTTCGACTACTTGGTAGACGCCTGGATCAGTAGAAACGATGAACGCCAGCGCGTGATACCTATAGAATCGTGCGTCGCTATGACGCTAGTTTATCTAGGCGCAGGCGCAACGTTCCGGCAGCTCGGCCTGCAGTTAGGGGTCGTGCCTCAGCACGCCCAGAGTCTGCTTTTGAGTCGACTCAAAAGAAAGCTCGGCCTGCAGTTAGGGGTCGTGCCTCAGCACGCCCAGAGGATTGTGCAGGGCTTTATGGCGTTCATAGTGGACAAACTACTCCCTCTCTGGGTTTCTCACCCTTCCGCCGAGCAGATGGCAGAGATAGCCGAAGAGTTCCGTTACGAGGGCGGTATTCCTGGCGTCATAGGAGCTCTAGATGGGACGTATATTGAGTGCCGTGGCTTCGGGAGAGACAAGGAGGACTTCAAAAACAGGAAGGGTTTCTATTCCATAATCCTACAAGTAGCATGTGACTCTAACGGAATAATCTGGGACTACAATGCGGGATACCCCGGAAGCGTGAACCACTCCCGGGTGTTTACTAACTCCCCGCTCAAGCGGCGCTTAGAGGCTGGCGAATTGGGGAACTACATGCTAGTCACGGACGCTGCTTACTCTCTCACAAGCTACACTTGTGTGCCTTGGCGCGCTACTCCCGGACGGTCTCTGCCACGGGCAAAAGTCAAGTGGAATACACAACAATCGCATCAGCGTATGATAATCGAGCAAGTCAACGGGAGGCTCAAAGGCAAGTGGCGCATCCTCGACAGCCGGATGGAGTGCCACAGTGAGAGGGTGCCGCAGGTGGTGAGTGCCTGTGTGGCACTCCACAACATCGAACAGACGATCGGCAGCAGGGATCGCCTTGGCCCCCCGCCGGAGCGCCACCAATGGTGGCTCGAGGGGCCCGCGGCTACTCTTCGACTTACCGGCCCGGAGGTGCGCCGTTTCACGCCTCATCTTCGGATGAAGAGGTGGATTGCGGCGATCTACGCCTCCTACTGCGCCGCTCATCCGCGTACCCGCGAAACACCTCCCGGGTTAGTGACTTGAATTCCTCCCACTTCTCATCCTGCCGTTTGTCAAAATGATCCCGTAGATCCCCTACCAAGTCGGCAGTGCTTGACGATTTCTTCTTCTCGGCTGCCTTGCGGCCAACACCGCGTTTTGCGGCATTCTTCTTTTTCCCATCCATCTCGCCGTCTTGCTTGCGTGGGTACTGCCACCACGCATTCCTTGAACACCCCTCCCCGCCATCAGACAAAGGGCGCGCCCCCCAAGTGAGGCGCCGTCCGCGGATAGAGATACCCGTCGTCGAACCTGACGGGAGCGTGCCGCCGCTTTGGGAGCCGCCGTTGCTCGGAGCGATAGTGTCTGGCGAGAGTGGAGTCTCGGGGGCGCGATGAGACGGAGCGAGGGCGCCGGCTTCAAGACCGGGAGAGGCAGGCTCGGTAATGCGGCTGGTGGCGGGGGACGGCGTGGGTACGACGGCTGGGATATCTGGCGAGTCGGGAGCGGGAGGGCGGGGAGCGGTGACGGTGCGTGCGGCAGCAGTCTGCGAAGGGCTTGAAGTCTGCGGGTGAGGCGTAGCCACCGTCGGGGTAGTCGTCACAGATGGCAACGTCGGTGTGGCGCGGGTGTTGGTGGCGGCCGGGGGAGCTGGGCGCGCCGTCGCCATGCTAGTAGGAGCGATGCCGGTACCTGCAAGGACAGGGGGTATGGTGCTTGGGCGCTCACCCCAGAGGCGCTCGCTGAGATGGTACCATGGCGGCAGGTTTGTGACGCGTCCCTCCCCAGATCGCTTGATACGGTCGTTGATGCGACGCCACTCTGCCTTGAGGCGGTTGAACTTCGCCTTGAGTGCCGCCTAGTCATGGCGCCACGTCGGGATGCGCTCAAGGATATCCCGCTGGACCAAGGGGTACCAGGACCGTCCTTGCTGCCCGATGCGTGCGCGGATCTGCGCGTCGAGATCGATGAACGTCGCCAGCACCTCGCACTCCTCCTCAGGGGTCCAGCGTGGCGAGTTTCTGGCAATGGAGTGGCGAGAACCAGCGGCAGTGGTGGTGCTTGGCTCCGTTGGCTGTGCCGCGGGTTCCTCTTCAACCTCTCCTGGCGCGGCGTTGTCATCCAATGCGGCTCCGAGTCCGTAGTCATCGTCGGCGTCGTAGGAGGCAGACGGGGAGGGGATTTGGTAAACCCACCAGTCAGCAGGGGTGACGGTGGGAGTGGTAGAAGGAGCTGTCGGCGCGTTGGAAGGACCAGGTATCTGGGACTCTTGTGTTTCGGGAACAGCTGTGGCAGGAGTGGTAGTATTGGTAGAGCGCGGTGGCGGGGAGTTGGGAGTGGTGTTGTCAAACTGGGTGTTCTGGGCGTAGCTAGAGGGATCCATTGTGCAGAGAACTGAGTAGTGATGAGTAGTGGGTCAATGTCGTGGCTTCTTGTATTGTAGTATGGCTAGTTGTGATTGGTCAATGTCAATCTTTGCATCCGAGTCGCATTTTTTCATGTTTTGGCGTGGCGGTCCGCTGAAATTCAATTTCGCGCGCCAATCGCGTGCGCGGACAGGCGGACAGTCCGTTTGTGATTCGGACAGTCCGATGTCAGAGTTTCGTGTCGTTGGAAAGCAGAAAAAGTGTCATGACAGTTCGAATTATTAGCGACGTCGCAAACGTCCTCGCGAAGAACTGAACGACATTAAACGAAAATGGTAACCCTTCGCCACGACGGACGGTCCACGGTTCGAACCGTCGGGTGCAAAATGGTTACTCGCCCTTAGACGTCATCCCTCTAGGGCCTGTTGTCCCTCCCTGGCCTCCTAAGGGGTCCTGCTGTCGCAGCTGTTAGTGGAAAACTATGAGTGCATGGGAAAGGGCGACAAGGGCATGAGGAAGAAGGCTCAAATGATCAATTTCAGCAAGTGAAGGTGGAGCATGAGGAGCAAGGGCTTGGGTCAAAAGCATGTGCGACAAAATAAGAGGGGATAGCAAGCGGAGAGCCTTACGTCGCGGGTGAATTGCCTTGACCTGTAGTCCCGGCTGACTCTCCTCTCTTGCGTTGCCTCTGCTCCTTGGCTGCTCCCAGAAGAGATGAGGGCAGCAGAAGGAATGAGGGCGGCAGAAGGGATGAGGGCGGCAGAAGGGATGAGGGCGGCAGAAGGGATGAGGGCGGCAGAAGGGATGAGCGCGGCAGAAGGAAGAGGGAAGATGAGGGATGAGGGATGAGGGATGAGTGAAGTGTGTCCGTGCAGATGAGTGAAGTTTGTCCGTGCAGATGAGTGAATTTTGTCCGTGCAGATGAGTGAAGTTTGTCCGTGCAGATGAGTGAAGTTTGTCCGTGCAGATGAGTGAAGTTTGTCCGTGCAGATGAGTGAAGTTTGTCTGTGCAGATGAGTGAAGTGTGTCCGTGCAGATGAGTGAAGTTTGTCCGTGCAGATGAGTGAAGTGTGTCCGTGCAGATGAGTGAAGTGTGTCCGTGCAGATGAGTGAAGTTTGTCCGTGCAGATGAGTGAAGTGTGTCCGTGCAGATGAGTGAAGTTTGTCCGTGCAGATGAGTGAAGTTTGTCCGTGCAGATGAGTGAAGTTTGTCCGTGCAGATGAGTGAAGTTTGTCCATGCAGATGAGTGAAGTTTGTCCGTGCAGATGAGTGAAGTTTGTCCGTGCAGATGAGTGAGTTTGTCCGTGCAGATGAGTGAAGTGTGTCTGTGCAGATGAGTGGAGGCGGCGAAACGAGAAACGAGAGATGATGACGGCAGCATGACGAGGAAGAGAAAAGAAAAGGCAAGATTGGAAGGAGATGGGTGCAGGAGAAGGGGGCGAGGAGGACACTCACACTTGCTCGCACTTGCAGGAGAAGGAGACGGCTCACACTTGCTTGCATTCCCTTGAGAGCTGCTCCCATGCAGGCCTCCTGGAATGAGATAAGGAGGAAATTAGGAGGCAAACGAAAGAGAGCGGTTGGGAAACTATTATTGAAAACAAAAAGGAGACAGAGAGTGAGAGGGGAAGGGAAAGCGAATGGGACTAAAAGAATGTCACAGCATCTTGCATTGCAAGCCAGGAGAAAAGACATGGTATATAAGTTCATACCACGAGATGCTCAGTTTTGTACCTTTCTGTTGCCACCGCTGAAGCACCACAGCCTCCGATCGCTCTCCTGCCTTTGCTCCCTTCGATTGCCTTTGCTCCCTTGGGTTGCAGCTGCTCCCTTCAGCTACAGGGACGAGAGGGGCAAAGGAATGGGAGGCGCGAGGTTCAAGCGGAAGAGGCAGGGAAAGGGAGTGAGTAGGCGAGTATGAAAACGAGTTTTCCTTCAGCGAAAAATGCAGAAGAATAACTATCAAGCTGAACACACAAAAGGCAATGGTAGCACAAGGCACTAGGGCAGCGAGCTAGCATGCGAGGGTGGACTGGGGTAAGAGAGAGACGCGAGCATGTGCATGAGTGCATTCTATTCTAGCCCCCTACAACTCTAGTGTGAGCTCAAGCCGCCCCGGTGCCATGTGCTACTATCGCCATGCGGAATTGACATTTTGATTTCGAGCATGCGCCGAGAAAGCAAATCGACACGAAGATGAACCAAAGACAGAAAGCAATTCGAGGGGTGAGTAAGGAGAGCGAGAAAGGGGGCAAGAAGGGACTTAGCTGCACAGGATGCATCGCCTCCGCCTCCGCCTCTGGCTTGGCTTTCATCGTCAACGCCGTCGGCGACCGTCGGCGACGGTCGTCCCTCCGATCTCCTCCGCCGCCTCCACTCCACCAGCCCCGTCAGAACTCACCACCTTCGAAACCCTCCTTTGTATTCGCGTCCGCCTCCGCCTCTGCCTTCTCCTTCGCTGCAGCTTCTGCGCTCATCATGTTCGCCAATCTCCTCGAGCTTCGCCTTCCCGCCAACGAGCGCCGTCGTCAGCGTCAGCGTCCCCGTCAGAACTCGCGACCTTCGAAACCCTCCGTCACGATCGTCAGCATCAGCGCCATGCGACGGTGACTGGATCGTCAGCATCAACACCATGCGACGGCGACTGGATCGTCAGCATCAACGCCATGCGACGGCGACTGGATCGTCAGCATCAACGCCACATCGCAAAACAGGGGGGAGGGGATTGTGACATGCGCGAATCTTGTTTGCATCTTCCTCGTCTTTCAGGGGTTGGGAATCATGCGAGAATGTTGCTCGCATGATTCGTGGGAGTGTTGTTAGGGTGTTGCGTGTTTTTCGAAGTGGTGCGCGTGTTTCTGGGCACTTGAAGTCAACTCCGCAGGCCCAGCTGGATGGTTTCGTGGTAACAAACTGTTCATCGCGCTTTTCATATTTCATGAAGTTGTAACAAACAGTGCTATTAAACTTAAATTGGTAATGTTACATTTTTTTGTCAACCCGCATGGTATTATAATTCGGTGGATATTGAGATATTCGTGAAACAAATATCTTGCCAATGCTAGTGTGAACATTGCCAATATCTTGCCAATGCTTTTTATGCAAACTTTTATTATATTATTAACTATTTGAGACGTTTTCTAAAATTATTAAATGCTTGGTCGTAGTCGATGTATCATCATTCTTGTATATAATTGTGTTTTTAGCATTTTATAATCACACAATAGGTTACTTCGGTCTACGCAGCTCGTGACGCTTGTTCGTGCATTGGATGCTTGGTATCCGTGCGAGGATGGGCTGTGCGCAACGTGTCACCGTTTCTTCGTCTGGTTGATGGTTCCACCCCCGTTTCTTCACACTGTTATCTAGAAGGACCTATTACAAGGCCAAAGGAAGTTGTTTCGCATCGTTCGCCCAACTACGCAGCTCGTGACGCTTGTTTGTGCGTACGATGCCATGGAACTGTGCAAAGACAGGCCCGTGCGCCACATGTCACCGTTTCACCGTCTGGATGATGGTTCCACCCCCGTTTCTTTGCACTGTTCCCTAGTAGGACCAATTACCAAGCCATAGGAACTTGTTTGACCTCGTTCGCCCAACTACGCAGCTCGTGACGCTTGTTTGTGCGTACGATGCCAGGGAACTGTGCAAAGACAGGCCCGTGCGCAACATGTCACCGTTTCGTCGTCTGGTTGATGGCTCCACCCCCGTTTCTTCACACTGTTCCCTAGAAGGACCTAATACAGGGCCAAAGGAAGTTGTTTCGCATCATTCGCCCAACTACGCAGCTCGTGACGCTTGTTTGTGCGTACGATGCCAGGGAACTGTGCAAAGACAGGCCCGTGCGCCACATGTCACCGTTTCACCGTCTGGATGATGGTTCCACCCCCGTTTCTTCACACTGTTTCCTAGAAGGACCTATTACAAGGTCAAAGGAAGTTGTTTCGCATCGTTCGCCCAACTACGCAGCTCGTGACGCTTGTTTGTGCGTACAATGCCAGGGAACTGTGCAAAGACAGGCCCGTGCGCCACATGTCACCGTTTCACCGTCTGGGTGATGGTTCCACCCCCGTTTCTTTGCACTGTTCCTTAGTAGGACCAATTACCAAGCCATAGGAACTCGTTTGACCTCGTTCGCCCAACTACGCAGCTCGTGACGCTTGTTTGTGCGTACGATGCCAGGGAACTGTGCAAAGACAGGCCCGTGCGCAACATGTCACCGTTTCGTCGTCTGGTTGATGGCTCCACCCCCGTTTCTTCACACTGTTCCCTAGAAGGACCTAATACAGGGCCAAAGGAAGTTGTTTCGCATCATTCGCCCAACTACGCAGCTCGTGACGCTTGTTTGTGCGTACGATGCCAGGGAACTGTGCAAAGACAGGCCCGTGCGCCACATGTCACCGTTTCACCGTCTGGATGATGGTTCCACCCCCGTTTCTTCACACTGTTTCCTAGAAGGACCTATTACAAGGTTAAAGGAAGTTGTTTTGCATCGTTCGCCCAACTACGCAGCTCGTGACGCTTGTTTGTGCGTACGATGCCAGGGAACTATGCAAAGACAGGCCCGTGCGCCACATGTCACCGTTTCACCGTCTGGGTGATGGTTCCACCCCCGATTCTTTGCACTGTTCCCTAGTAGGACCAATTACCAAGCCATAGGAACTCGTTTGACCTCGTTCGCCCAACTACGCAGCTCGTGACGCTTGTTTGTGCGTACGATGCCAGAGAACTGTGCAAAGACAGGCCCGTGCGCAACATGTCACCGTTTCGTCGTCTGGTTGATGGTTCCACCCCCGTTTCTTCAAACTGTTCCCTAGAAGGACCTAATACAGGGCCAAAGGAAGTTGTTTCGCATCGTTCGCCCAACTACGCAGCTCGTGACGCTTGTTTGTGCGTACGATGCCAGGGAACTGTGCAAAAACAAGCCCATGCGCCACATGTCACCGTTTCACCATCTGGGTGATGGTTCCACCCCCGTTTCTTTGCACTGTTCCTTAGTAGGACCAATTACCAAGC